AACAAAGATAGCGGTCATTCAAAGTACTTCCAAATCTCAGTTTTTTATAATGTATAATAACAATTTGCAACAGGTACTGGTTTTGAAGTCTGGTAAAAAAATATGTTTAAGTTAAGTCTTATTTAATTAACGGGGACTTTGTAGGCAAGGTGAATGACTTGAAGCCTGTGGAGACTAGTTGTGGTTTAGTTGTATTATTATAAATTTAGAGCAATTTTCTGGACTTCAGTGGAACCATTCTGGTGCACTGAAGATCAAAGTTTGGCTCGTTGTGTCAGCAGAAAACTTCTTCACAGTCTAATATGCATCTGGTGTGGCTAGAATCAATGGCAGCAATGTTGACAATCCCGTGTGAGAATGTCTTTGGATTTAGCAGTACAGAATATCTTCCAATATGTACAGCATCTTTATTAAATTAATTATTTATATGTTCTCATTCTTATCTGAAGCCTAACGTGTATAACGGTGGTGTTGTATTAACAGAGAGAGACAGAATGTCATGATAGATAAAACAGGAAAGACAGTTCAGAAAATGAAGGGAAGCTAACTACAGGTAACACTGTGGAATTTTTAGATAGCCAAGCAGAAATGATTTTTTATTTAGTAGACTTTCTTTCAAAGTTAAGATTGTTATTCTCAATCATCCTACCACAGTTATTTATTCAATTAAATTTCTTACCTTGTTTGCTACTCATTGAGTTAGCAAATCTCAACAAGTAAGACTTTCCAGAGGGTCTTAAAAAATCAGTGGTAGACCCTGAGAAGTAAGTTTGCGCATGTGAAGTACATTGCAAGTAACAACAGCAACCGTAGCAATTGATTATGTCAATACACATGGAATTTATTTTATTTTAGCATCCTATATTCTTTGTGGCTTAGTCAGACAATGAATTAGCTACTTACTGTGGGAGACATAGGTACAAATTGATTTAAGTAACAAGTAAATATAAAGGACATTATAGCTTAGATGGTGGATCACATTAAAGCTACTCTTTGGGGTAATATTTGCAATACCTGTTCAGTCCTCTTCACAGCTAGCGGATGATTTCACAGTACAAGCCAACCCTTGAGTGCTAGGAGGGGCTGTTAGTATCACACAGTCTGACCTCCTCCTTAGCTTTAACTCCAGAATCTCATCATTGACCTCGTACAGCTCTTTGAGCTTTGGTGTATCTTTGGGGAAAATGTGTGTCCTTGATGTGAAGACGTAAAGAAGTGGATGTGGCTTGAGGTGCATTGTTCCAGGGAGAAATGACCTTCACTATTTGAGTGTCGCCTTATTTCCCATCTGGATTTTGTATACTTTGGCTTTCAATTGCTCTACCTAGTTAAGCAACTTTGGCAAGACTAGAGAGCCTTATTTCTCATATGTTCTCTCTATATAAATATTTGTAAATCAGAGTCAGTTCTCCTCTTAACCTTCTCTTTAATAAATTAATTAAGCTGACCACTTCCCTATTACTATGCAATGGTGGCACGTGCATATACCAAGTAATAATAGTTTTAGTAGGCAGGGTGGTGATGGGTTGATGGTTGGACTTGATGATCTAAGAGGTCTTTTCCAACCTTAATGATTCTGTGATTCTATGATCTTGTTTATCTTCTCAGAGCACTGTGCACATAAGCTCATGCTAAACTTATGCTCTTAAAATGCATGCTAGAAACTGGCATACTATATAGCGAGCCTCCATTTATAGAGATTTTTGTAATCTATTCCCTAGTCTTTTGTTAAATAGCTTGTTAAGCAATAAATAGATTTGTAGAATGCTAATGCTTAAGCTCAAACATCAATCAGTATTAACATATCCTGGCAAAACGAATGCTTTACTGGCCTGTGTTCATTTTATGCCTAACTATTTGGTAACATTTGCTTTACAAGAGCTCCCTACCACCCCAAAATAACTTGCAAAGAAATGAGCAAAATATTCTGTCTTGCAGACCAAACTATTAAATATTGATGAAGAATGTAGTTGTTCTTATGTGTAATAAAATAACATTTAGGAGTTTAAAAGTAACCCAAATCATCAGAGAACTGCAGAACATTTTTTGGAATTGTATTCACCCATATGCTGTTGGTCACTTTTTGTCCAAATGCATTTTTGATAATATTTCTGCTTCTTTTAGTTCATAAATATTTCAACCATATTTCACTTGTTTATTGTACTATCCTTTAAATAATATTTTCTGTTTCCTTGGAAGAGGGATAAAATTTATCATGTTTTATTGAGTAGTATTATGTTGATAGCATCTTTTCCCCCCAGCATCACAGGCTCTTTCTCTGCTCTCTGCCCTTTTCCTAGGGGGGTATCAGGACCTGCAGTTTTTCTCTGTTTCATCTCCGTAGTCCTGAGAGTTGATGGTAATCTTCAAAGGGGCTTCTGTAGCCTAGTGAAAGTCAAAAGACAAATCCTGATGAGTTCCAATTTGTCCTGGGTTGCAGTCACTACAGCTTTTTCCCTCATCCAAGTTCACACAGAACACCAGACAAACTCAAAATTAATACATTTTGTTACAGCAAAGCAGAAAGTGATGTTCCGGAATGCAACGCTGGGAACAAGGTTATGAAAGACAGAAACTGCAAAACTGCAATTGCAGTTGCAAAACTGCATTTCCAGATCATTCTTCATGCTAAAGCTCCTCTCTAGGGCTGCGGTTTGACTTTACAGAACGATCCACAGCACAGCCGGCTCCCGGTACCACTTCCTGAGGGACTGGGAATGGGTAGCAATGAGAGGCAGCAATGCCTTTGGCCAGCATGGCTGCCTGGGCCTGCTTCATGCCAAACCACATCTGGGCTAGACACCTGAGGGGACAGTAAACATCCCTCTGCTTTGGCCCATTATTTTATGGTTTCATGGGTAGAATCCATCTCATATTTTGGAAATAGGATTTTTGGAGGTTCTCCTTCCCCTCTACTCTGCCCTAGTGAGGCCCCATCTGGAGTACTGCATCCAGTTCTGGGCTCTCCAGTTCAAGAAAGATGAGGAGCCACTGGAGAGAGTCCAGAGGAGGGCTACGAGGATGATGAGGGGACTGGAGCATCTCTCCTACAAGGAAAGGCTGAGGTAGCTGGGCTTGTTCAGCCTGGAGAAGAGAAGGCTGAGAGGGGACCTTATAAATGCTTATCAGTATCTGCAGGGTGGGGGTCAGGAGGACGGGGCCAGACTCTTTCCAGTGGTGCCCAGTGACAGGACAAGGGGCAACGGGCACAAACTGAAGCCTGGGAAGTTCCAGCTGAACATGAGGAAGAACTTCTTCCCTCTGAGGGTGACGGAGCCCTGGAACAGGCTGCCCAGGGAGGTTAGGGATTCGCCTTCTCTGGAGATATTCAAGACTCACCTGGACGTGGTCCTATGCAGCCTGCTCTGGGTGACCCTGCTTGTGCAGGGGGTTGGACTGGGTGACCCACAGAGGTCTCTTCCAACCCCTACCATGCTGTGATTCTGTGAAATTCGTACACGAGCAACTCCATACAATTAGTTTTTTGAAGGGATTTCGTAGATCAGCAGTAAAGGGGCTAATCCTTGTGCCAAAATCACTCATTTATGATATAATTTCAAGGAGTTACTGAGTATTTTTAGCTAGGCTTTTGTTTTCCTGGTGTTAGAAATAAACAGTATTGCATACTTTTGCCATTCATATTATCCACATGTGGGTTGCAAATAGAACTCAGTAGAGATTACAGGTACACCTTTGCTTTCTAATTCTCCCAAACTGAAAAAAATTGTGAAAATGTTGCCGTTCCTAAGCATAACAGTATTATATACAGCACATAGTATTATTTATGTTATATATACAACATAGTATTATCTATCTCTCTCTCTATATATATATAAACAGTACTAGCACAGGCAGACTTTCTCCAGACCTTCTCCTTAGCATACTTCTCTATTGGAGTCCTCTTTGGAGCTCAGATTTGAGAGTTCTGTTACAATCATTCCTTCTCTCCATAGCTAGTGGTGATGACGGTAGGAACTGATAAGCTCAGAGTGAATTCAGCAATACATGCATACTAGTCTTTCAGCAAGTTCGTTGCTTTGTGAATAGAGAAGAATAACTGGTTATCTCCAAGGGTATTTTGAACCTTTCTCCCATAAAGATGTACTCCTCCAGCACAAGAAAACTTTTAAACGCTTGGTAAAATAAACCTTTTTTTGTAGTCGTTTACATGGTTCAAAACAAGTATTTTAAGAGTACCTTGATTACAGTAACTGCAGCTTGATTACTTAAGGTTTTACATCTGTATTTGACTGCCATGTGATGTACCAAAATGTAAAATGCTCACGTTTCATTTGCATGTCATTTAAAGTAGACATGAGAGTTGAATGAGTAGATGAGGAGCTAGTGGAGAGAGTCCAGCAGAGGGCTACGAGGATGATGAGGGGACTGGAGCATCTCTCCTATGAGGAAAGGCTGAGGTAGCTGGGCTTGTTCAGCCTGGAGAAGAGAAGGCTGAGAGGGGACCTTAGAAATGCCTCTAAATATCTGCAGGGCGGGTGTCAGGAGGACGGGGCCAAACTCTTTCCAGTGGTGCCCAGCGACAGGACAAGGGGCAGTGGGCACAAACTGAAGCACAGGAAGTTCTGTGTGAACATGAGGAAGAACTTCTTCCCTCTGAGGGTGACGGAGCACTGGAACAGGCTGCCCATGGAGTTTGTGGATTCTCCTTCGCTGGAGATATTCAAGACCCTCCTGGACGTGGTGCTGTGCAGCCTGCTGTGGGTGACCCTGCTTGGGCAGGGGTTTGGACTAGATGACCCACAGAGCCCCTTCCAACCCCTGCCATTCTGTGATTCTGTGATTCTGTGAATCTCTTGAGGACTATTTAACCAAAGAAAGACTTGGACTTGCTAAAAACACCTACTGAGTATGCACGTAAGAGACCTTGCGAAACGAGGTGTACGGGATGTCCTAAATTTAGGTCTGTTGAATTTATGCCTACAGCCCAGTCAGGTAGGGAGGATGGTTCTCACCGTGTGCTGTGTTTTTGCTCTCCCCAGGAATGCGGCAAGGCAATGACTTTGGCACGCAGTATCGCTCGGCCATCTACACCTTTTCTCAAGAACAGATGGAAGCTGCCTTGAGATCTAAGGAAGAATATCAAAAGGTAACACTGGGCAGGACGCGGAACTGCTTCACGTGCAAGCGGAGGTCAAAGAGGTCACCTGTTAGCACAAAATCACTTTTTGTGCTGTGCGTTGTCTCTGCGTTGCTATTGGCATTCCTTCTTCTAATACTGAACTTGCATCAGGTTTACCTTAAATTCCAGCTTTTATGAAATGTGTTTTTTTGTGTGTGAGTCATTTTATAACTATGCAGAAAGAAAAATAGCTACTTATAGAGGGATAGTTTTCATCTCTTCTAGAGATTTTTTTACATGGTTGTGCCAGAGCAGAAGTCTGTGATCTTAAAGCTATTGAAGCGTGTCTGGACCATATACTCTGAAGGGTGCAGCCAAAACCTCAGACCCTAGAATTCTTGGGGGAAAGTCCTGATCAATATTTGAGCTTGGTAACTCGGGATCGCCCACCTGCTGCTTGTAAGATGCTTCTATCAAGCCATTCCATAAATGTCTTTGATTAAATGTGACAGCCCATGACTTAGTAAGACCGTTTTGGCATTTGAGTTTCTGTGAGAGAAGATCAACCATTTTCCTTTCCACACACAGTCCTGTTTTTCAGTGAAGATGGATTCTGTCTCTTCCCCACTACATAAGCTATTATTTATCTAAAGGCAGAGGGATTAGTGTCCTATAGCGTTGCTGCATTGTAATTGCTGTCTGGTCTGCTTAGTGGTCTTGATAATGCAAGATCCAGATTCTGCAGGAGACATGTATGAATTCTTACAACCTATATGCAATAGACTACTCACCTAGGACATCAGGGCAATAGAGTAACTATTAAGTAGTGCTAAAAGAATATCAGCTTTCATGCATTCACATGTACTGTAACTTCACTGAAGGATTATGTTGAAGGGCCAGGGTTAGTGGTGAGTATCTAATGTTAAGGGTGAAGAACTGTGTTTTGAAGAGTGAGGGTGACTCAGTCAGAAGCGTGTGCCAAGGCATGAAAGGAAGGTGGACGTGCTGATGTCTGGCGTGGCAGTTTGGTTTTCCTAAGTGTGTGTGTGACATAGGGGGGCTGAGCTGTGTAAGCGCTTGCAGGGCTGGTTTGTAGAGGCACCTGGCGTTATTTTGCAGGCAAAGAGATGCCATGAACTGCAAGTAACTTATCTGCAAGTCGTTCTTAGCAGTGTGATAGCTGTGCATGTAAATGGAGTGTTCAATGACATGGATATTTTCTCAGAAGTAGCTGAACATGTGGTGATAAGTCAGTCTTGCAGGTGTTTATCTTTGTTAACAGAGCGTTTTCTGAAGGTTCGATATTCAGATTTATCATGCAGAACTTCTTTCTACTCATTGTTTACCTTAGATCCATTGCTTTTCCAAATTGTTTTTGATTAACATCTACTGACCAATATCGCACTGTAAATCTTACACTGTTGTTATTTGTAATTAAATTAAAACTGACTTGAAAGCAAAATTACGATGTTGAAGAATGAAATATGATATTACAGAAATTTCCATCATCAAACAGGTTTTCTTAATGGCACAATTTAAAATTTACCTGCTTTGAAGCCTATCACCATTTGGAAAGTGTGTGTAATTAGTACGTTTATAGAATTAGGCAGAACTCTGTAAGTGATCACATGTAGAGTTTGGTTTTGCACCAGAGTAAGGAGAAGGAAGGGGCTGTGTTGCCTGCTAAGGAAACATAGCAAATATATTCTGAAATTCCTACAAGATACGCGGTTTCTGTGCGTTATGAGCAATAATGTCTACAATATTACCTACTGTGGTGTTGCGGTAGCAGTAGAATGGTTGCGTTGGAAACATACTGAGCAAACACCATGTTCTGGAGTCCCTTTGCACATTAAATGTTTTGCATGACATTATTTTAATGTAAATATAGTACAACCACTTTCTTTACAAATGCAGTAATTTAAAAATACCAAGCTCTGCTGGCAGTGACACACGCATATCTGTGCACCTGATAATGACGGAGAAAAACTCGTGGCGGTGATACATCACTTGATTTTTCCACGATAAGCAGTGGTCCATACCCCAAACGGAGGAAGGACGAATGAATATTGAAAATACAGTGACTGAAACAGGTATGAGTGACTCTACAGGTTTTTGGCACAGCACATGAATCAAAGCAAAATAGTTTATTTGCTTGTTGACGGAATAATTGAGCATGTGCTCTTAGATGTCTTTTTCAACTGAGGACCTAGAAGAGCATTAAGAACGTCCTACAAACAGGAAAATGTGTGTTTGCTAGATTAGTTTTTTTTCTTTTTTTCATAAAACAAGATATGATTGTTAACTTCAAGGAAATATTTTTGTTCGCTGAGGATAGAAACCATCCAACCCCAAGATTTATGTCCTGAATTCCCGCCTCTGTGGCAGGCTAGCCTGAAGCGCTGGCTCCTCTCCAGCAGCCAGCAAGCCATGTTCAGCTCTGCCTACATTTAGCAAGCCATATGGGCTGAGAGGAGCAGATCTCCAGAGCAAGACAGTTTGTACCAAGGACCCAGAACACACAACGTACGTTTCAAGAGCGTTTGCTCTTCAGTAGACATAGTTTGATCCTCTGAACCACGTGCCGCTGGCAGAGGGATGTGAGCGGTGTGTTTCTGGTTTAGCTCTGTCAAAAGGAATTGGGTTCATCCATCCCCAGACCACTCTGTGATGTGAACGAAAGCATGGTAAGTGGCAATGGCGGGGAGATTTATCACAAAATCACACTTCTGCTCCAAACTGAAACTCAGTCGTAGTTGCCAATAAGGCCAATGGTATCGTGGGGTGCATTAGGAGGACTGTGGCCAGCAGGTCGAGAGAGGTTCTCCTTCCCCTAGGTGGGCCCCATCTGCAGTACTGTGTCCAGTTCTGGGCTCCCCAGTTCAAGAAAGATGAGGAGCTACTGGAGAGAGTCCAGCGGAGGGCTACGAGGATGAGGAGGGGACTGGAGCATCTCTCCTATGCGGAAAGGCTGAGGGAGCTGGGCTTGTTCGGCCTGGAGAAGAGAAGGCTGAGAGGGGATCTTAGAAATGCCTCTAAATATCTGCAGGGTGGATGTCAGGAGGATGGGGCCAGACTCTTTTCAGTGGTGCCCAGCGACAGGCCAAGGGGCAACGGGCACAAACTGAAGCCTGGGAAGTTCCAGCTGAACGGGAGGAAGAACTTCTTCCCTCTGAGGGTGACTGAGCCCTGGAACAGGTTGCCCAGAGGGTCTGTGGATTCTCCTTCTCTGCAGATATTCAATCCCCATGTGGACAAGGTCCTGTGCAGCCTACTGTAGGTGACCCTGCATGGGCAGGGGGGTTGGACTAGATGACCCACAGAGGTCCCTTCCAACTCCTAACATTCTGTGATTCTGTGATTCTGTGTAGTGCTACGCTTGAGTGGAGAAACGCTGCAGTTAAGTGCACCGCGTCCCTAACTCCTGCCAACCTGCGAGTGAGGATCTTGATGCGCACTGAGCCCAAGTATCCCACAGGGTTACGTCTATTTTAAGTTGTGAAACTTGTTGCTGGTTGATGCAGCTGTTTTAACAGCTGAGAAATGGCGATACAGCAATGAATATGCATTAGGACCACACGTCTTCAGCTGTTGATGAAGCTGAAAGCGTACAGTCAGTCAGCTAGCGGTAATATATAACACAACAGTGCTGCTGGTAAATGGTGACACAATGTAAGTGTAATCAGAAAAACATAAAACGAGGGCCAGGGCTTGAGGAGAGTACTGTGAATGAGCTGTTCCATCAGTTTTGCCTGAAGCTGAATTTTTTTAATACAGTTGAACCTGAAGTTACTCCATTTTCAAGACAGTTGCTAGGCTGGGTTTGGTTTTCACATGAATTATCTGGGCAATAACCAAAATGGTGGTATCAGGGTGGGAAGAAGCTTGTATTTATTCCTTCTGGATCAGAGGCCTGCATTTGTTTTGTCAAGCGCTGACACTGGGTTTTCAGGCTCCAAGGATGTATGGAGTCCCGCCTTGCCACGTTTGGCTTGGGTTAAAGTCACAGCCCCAAAACACCAACATCTCTGCGGCCTCGTGTGGGACAGCACCGACAATCAACATCGCACACAAACAACAAGACGCAGGTTTATTCCTTTGTAACAAAACCAAATATCTGGCAGGAGAAGATCCTTTCACAAAACAACTTGAGGAATAAATGGAGTGGTTTTTTACGAAAAAAAAAAGGAAAGGCAGATAAAGTACAGAAGTAACTATTTTTTTTTGCTTAGAAATGGATGGAGCTTTACTAGAAGTAATGTAATACTTTTTTTTTTTTAATGATTTGGACTGTAAGGCTACAAGCTTAGGAAGTTTCTCTGCAGGAACGTGTTGTGATGTTGACAGAAACCCTCTCTGAAATCTAAACCAGCTGGTCAACAGATTGAGCAAACAAATAAAATAAAACAATAACTGCACCAAAGCCACAGTTACAAAGAAAAAAAAAAAAAAAAAAAAAAGAAAGAAGCAAAAATAATTGTTTGCTTTGGGGCCTGCAAATATGATTAAGAAGTTCCAAAAAATATTGTAAGTAGAGGTGAAGAGACTAACTTTAAAAATTAAGATGTAGTATAAATATAAAATTCCAGGCAACTGAAGCTAACCCACCGCCCAGTCTGTTAGTCTGGAGAACAGTCTCTTTGTGCAAATGCCGGGACCTATAAAACCGAGGGCGGATAGATGACAGGCTGACCATGAGCCAGCAGTGTACCATGGCTGCCAAGAAGGCCAATGGGATCTTGGGGTGCATTAAGAGGATTGTGGCCATCAGGTCGAGGGAGGTTGTCCTCCCCCTCTACTCTGCCCTAGTGAGGCCCAATTTGCAGTACTGTGTCCAGTTCTGGGCTCCCCAGTTCAAGAAAGATGAGGAGCTACTGGAGAGAGTCCAGCGGAGGGCTACGAGGATGAGGAGGGGACTGGAACATCTCTCCTATGCGGAAAGGCTGAGGGAGCTGGGCTTGTTCAGCCTGGAGAAGAGAAGGCTGCGAGGGGACCTTATAAATGCTTATCAGTATCTGCAGGGTGGG